CAAATACTAATATAAATCCTCATCTTGTAATACCATTTGACGTGCTAATTCAATAGGATTGTAATTCATATTACCTACATTTCTAGCCCGATTAGTTGTAACAGGTTCTGAAGAAAATACCGCATCTCCAGATGCTAAAAATTCTGGCAACGCCAAATCTACTGAATCTGCAATATTTAATGTTAGATTTTCCAAATCTTCGCTTCCATTAATATCTTCTAAATCACTAGTTCTACCATTATTAGTATTCTCATCTGAAGTTTCAAGTAAATCATATGTAATCATTGATGTATTAATACTTTCATATAGCTCTTTATTATTTAAATCTTTGCCATAAAGCTGAAGTTCTTTATCAGAATTTAAAAGATAGTAAGAGCATATTTTTGTTATATCTTCTACTCGAGAAAGACAAAGTTGAGTTCGCTTATTACCATAAAACCATTTAAGCATTGAAAAGTTTCTTTCGCAGACAGCTTGTGAAGGAACAATTGAGAATAAATGTAATGCTAATTGTTGGAGTTGATCTTGATCATCATCAACATATACACTACACCACCATTTAATTGGTGTTTCATGAGTAGAATTATAGGAAAGATGGTAAGGTTCATCTTTTCGTTTCCAACTTCGCATTTCTACCAATAATTGTATACATGACTCTTCTGAATAATGTAAATTATTCCAAATTAATGCAGCTGTTTCATAAATTTTATCCAATACTGTTCTTTTTAAGCCACAACCTAAAATATATATAATTATATAAATATATATAAATCTTATATATAGAGATGTGACTTGATCATAAATTTTATATATATACGTAAAAACTGGTTTTACATATAAAATTTATAATCGGGTAGCATCTTCACTTATCATTATATATATATACCTCTATATAAGGGATGTAACCAGTATGCAAGAATTGTAACAGGATTTACAAGTTCATCGAATCATCGATTAAAATTATTAATAATATTTTTTTTCCACAGATTAGAATTTTCAACTCGATTAATATTTGCAGCTAATTTAATCAAACCAATAAAAATATCGGCTAAATTGGCTGTTCTAGCTTCTAAACAATTTGTTAATTCCTTTATAGGTTTTAAAATAACAGAAATCTGATGGCACTTAATATAAAAATCTTCATTCTCAAGAAGTTCAAATACTGCAGTATTAGAGATTACAGATATGTGATTTTCCAAAATCTATAAAAATATTAATTATACTATCGCTATATACTATAAAGTTAAATAAATATAATATTAACTATTATACTTACCTAATCAAAAACAGGCTTAAATTTAACAATTGAATCTACTGTAGTAAAAAGTGTTCCTCAATGAGTTTTGTAATATGATTTAATTTCCCTACCTTTGATTTTCATAAGACGAAGTTGTTCTGAATAATATCCATAAGCAATATGAGAATTATGAAAAAAATTTAAAATTGAACCGCATTTGGTAACAATGTCTTTAATTGATTCTAATTTAGTGAAATCAGATGCAAGCAAGTTTACTGCATATGCAGCGCATCTAACATTTAATATAAAAGGATAAGTGTTATAACCGATTTGATGAGCTACACAAAGATTTGCTCCTGAGTCTGTAACAATTGCTGCGAACTTTTCAACACCTATCTTTTCAATAAAACTTAAAATTTCACTGGCCATAAACTCTCCCGTATGACTAACTGTGTTATACTCCTTAAGTTTAATAAGATATTCTTTATGCTTAGATGTAGTAATAATAAAGTTATAAATTAAATTGTGAGTAGGCGATGTCCATCCATTGAGAGCTATTATAATAAAAATTTTTATATTATATACATAAAGTAAGAAAATTTTCTTTTTCTAAATCATTATCAATTCGTTTATTAATTCTTAAAACTTCTTGGTCCAAAAAACGATTAGAGAGCCTATCATGTGATGGGAGTTCATATCCAGGAATTGCAAGTTGAAACAAGTCGATTCTCTACTGTTTCAAATGAAAAATTACACATAATCCAAGCTTTTAAAATAGCTTTATTTAAAGATTCCACCCATGCTTCAGGAAGTGGTTCAACTTTTGGAAAATGGATTGTAATTTCAGACTGATTATGTTTTGTTTTTTTTCGTGTAGGGGTTTTTTCTTCAGCAATAAAATCTCTCCAAAAATATTTAATTTCATCAGAAACATTCAAACATTGTTAAGCAAGATGCAAGCGCATTTCATCAGGTCAACCTCTTTCTCACGAAATAGGACAATATTTACAACTAGCTTTATAATGTCCTCGACCTAAACTAACACCTTTATTAACATAAAGCCAAATATCTCCTTGCTCTTTACTGCTAACATTTCTGTGTTTTGTAAATAATTGGCTTGATTCATTTGTTTCATTTGTTTCACTGTACTCTTGTAGTTCATTTTCACTAACGCTAAATGTATTAGAAGCAGTTTGTGAATTTCATGATGCCATTAATTTTCAAAAAAGATATGTATTATCATAAATATATACTGTATCAATATCTGATTCACGATAACTAGTAAAATTAAATATTAGTTTATTATAAACAGGGTTCAGTGTTTGGTACTAGATTCAAACTCAATATTGGCTGAATATACTAACATATGAAGTATCAATAAATCAATTGTACAATAATGCAATATATATATTGATATGGCATTTAGAAATTTAACACCTTGATGTTCTTTTTTATGAAATGACTATTTTCTTACAATTTTTTTTTTCTCCTGATATATTCTAAATTACAATGTACATCGATAATATAATAGATGGAAAGCACATTAGAGCCTGGAACCAGATTTTTTAAAAACTAATTACTAATTTTTAATCTGGTTGTTTATTAGATTATATGAACCATCAAATAACCTTTGCAGGTAACCTGAAAACTCTTAAATAATTGGATATCTCATAAATACCACAGATAAGTAAGCAGGTTTTGCGAATGTATAATTAAAATCAGAGACATCAACTTATACTGTTTGACAGCTTTGGAGTTTCTGATTTCAAATTAAATTAATTTTGAAATCAGTGAATCATAAATCTTATTTATTTTGATTTGTAAGCTTATTTATATAATAACAATAATAATTAATATTTTTTATAATCGTGAATTTTCTTTCAAAACTTGATACTTTTCACATATATATTGTTATGCCTTATACCTCTGATCGACAATTACAGACATTTTTATTATATGTCTAATAAATTACTAATACCAGTGTAGAGATTCTTGATAGGTACAATCTCTAATCTTATGATTTTTTTTCAAGTTCTTTTTTTTAGTGGCTTGTTTAAAAGTTTTTGGAAAGGCATATTATTTTATTAAATATTAATAATTCGAAAAATAAATATGTAATATTAAGAGTTTTAAGCATCATCAAAAAAAAAGGTACACACTTTATTTATCTCTGGATATCTCCTATTTCATTTTTTGATTTAAAATTTCAAAACAGAAATAGGACATTTTTATCTTTCTGGAATTTGTTCTCATGCTGATAAATAACATATATGGCATGTACTAAACAGTACATAAACTGGTTTTTGTCGCTATCACTATTTTCGAATTAGTACTATAACATGTAGATAAACCTGCATATTACCATTGTCGTAAATATGCAGGGTTTATAGAATTTTTACGTCACAGATACCTGCAAATTAGAGGTGCAATCTGTTATCTATTTTATTAAATAAATTTATGGATATTCGTAAATTTAAATAGAAAAACAGATAACAGATCGCATCTCTACTGCAAACATTAACGGATGGAGGTTATTATCTATAAGGCACTTATGGCATCCGGATATGTATTAGCTATACAGATATACAAATAAACAGTTTTGACTTTTAAGCATATATGTAAAAACATAAAATATAAAAAACTTAAAAAAAAAACCTAACCTTTGAAGAGCAAATACAGTCTGGATTCCAGGCTAAAATCATTCCAGATTCTGGAAACTCATTTGATTATTTCACCATTTCACCATTTCACCAATTACACCAATTCACCAGTTATACCAATTACACCAATTCACCAGTTACACCAATTACACCAATTTACCAATTACATTAATTACACCAATTCACCAGTTATACCATTACTGATTGGTGATTGATGAAATGGTGAAATTATTTTACTATTCTAATTTAATTTCACCAACATCTATAGTTGCAATTGCTCATATTTCTATATATAATTATGCTATTGCTTATTGTTCTTGCAATTTTTAGTTTGTGCTTGGCTAATCCTATTATTGAACTTTGAATAATATTTATTATTCTTTTAGACAATTTTGTCATTTGGAGCAAATAAGTTAACTTTGGCACTATACATATGTTGTTTATATATAATACTTGTGTATCTATTATTTTTTTAGTATTTAAAAGCCTTGTTTATATATTCATTCATTACTAAGTTTAATCTTTCTATTTTCTTTAAATTTACTTGGATTTGTAATTATTAGCTTTGATTTTTTTCCATTTATTTGGATATCATTTAGTTCAAAAAAGTCTTTTGCAATTTGTAATATCTGCTCTATTTGCTTTCAACTATTTGCTATCCAGGTTGTATTATCTGCAAAAGCTACTACTACTTGTCTTTAACTTGTCTTTATTAAATAGTTTAAACTATTGTTGTATAAATTTGAAACCTCTATCATATAGCCTAGGTTTGGATCTTTTTGGATTTTTTTAAGCAGAAGATCATAGAAAATTCTTCATACTAAAGGTAAGAGCACCTTATTCTGTTTTATTCTATTATTTATTACAAATGCTTCTGTATAATCCTAATATGTAATTATTCTGAATTGTCTGTTTTGAAAAAGATTTAAGATTATTTTGATTATTATTTCTGGAAATTTAATTCTTTTCATAGCTGTCTTTAAGACTGTTAATGATACTAAGTTAAAGGCTTTTTTCATATCTTGTAAAACTAACTAAAGCTTTTTATTGTTTTCTTTTGCATTTTCTATTAATATGTTTATAATATGCACTAGCTCTTTTGTTAAATTTTCTGAAAGTCCTGTAAAGTTTGAACCTTTAAGAATATTTTTTGGTAAAATATTTTAGCTAATCTTTTAGTTAGAATCTTTGTTGTACATTTTCGAAATGTTTCTAGTAGAGTTATTGGTCTAACATTATCAAGTTTGTAGTGCCATTTACCTTTTTTTAGAATTGGATAGATTTGTGATATTTTCTACTTCTTTAGTATTGACTCTGATTTAATACAAATTTTAGCAATATTTTAAAAATTTTATGTACTTTAACTTCTACTGTTTGGATTAGTATATATGTAATAACTAAAATTCCTAGTACTGTTTTTTTTTTAAGTTCTTGAATTATTTCATTTTATCCTTTTTCAGAAATATTTTGGTTAAGATCTTTGTACTATTTTTTTTTAATGAACTCTTTTAGCTTATATATTTCTTTTTATCTTTTTTTGCATATCAGTTATTTGAAATATCAAATGATCTGCATTATATTAAATATAATATATAGTATTTTAATAAGTTTAAAATATTTTATATATTTTTTTTTTTTGGTATTAAGGTGACCTCTTTGGTCTTTTGACTTTTATTAATCACTTATCAGTATTGTGGTTCA